AAAAAGCACGCAAGCATCGCGTAATAGGTAAATTCATAGAAAAGCTGAATGCACGCTGTTATAAAAAAAATTAAAGGTTTTTAGTTGTGTGTTGGTGCTGCTTAGTATAGTCCAAAAAAGTGATTGCTTGGTTGACGAAACTCTTCAGAGAACGTTCGACACCTTTTTTTCTATAATTTTAAGAGAAAACATTGTTTCTCATTATATTATAGAAATTTTTATTCTAAGTAAATCTATGTACATACATACTATATATGTATGTTCATAGGAGGTATTCCTTAGAATTAATGAAAGCTTCTTGCAAACATCCCTATTCATTATATGTCTAAATAAACAGATTTCTTTACATTGATCCCAGAAATGCACATTGGGGAGCATTACTCTCCATGCAAACCTATTTGAACCTTACCAATTGAAAATTACTCCAAAAATCGAGCTGTTTATAAAAAAATAGGTTATTTTTTTTTTTAATCCCCTCAGATGATAAAGAGTCTGCCTAAATATGTTTAAAAACTGTATCAACGGATTCAAAATAAAGAGTTCTTTGGAGGTATTTTCAAATAGGTCCAGCTCATGCAAATCACGCAATTTTTTTCAACCGCAATGGCAAGTTGCTCTATCTGTTCTAGACCGAGATGTTAGAGCAATCTCGATCTGCTAGCAACGGGACCTATCCAATAAGATAACCTGCTAAGGTATCTTTTGAGACTTTTGGTGGCATCGAAAGACTGTGCTGTCTTCCAGGCTAATGCAATATCGAAGAAAACAAAGTTGCCAACGAGCTAAAGATCTTAAACCGTCTTTGCTGGACTTTCATTTGTGGTTTCAGTTCGTCGTCTACGACACTTAATAAATAGGATAAACTTACTCAGCAGTAAGGAGGGGGAGGGGGAGGGTGCAATAGAGGTTCTTATACAGGTTGTTGTTGTTGTGCCGGGTACTTAGTCCTGCTAATCGGCTAATCTTTAAACTGTTGTCAAACTCAATTAAAGATAGGCCCAGGAAACGTGATGTTAAGACGAAGTTGGACTAAAGGTAGAGAGATATTAGTTTCGGGGATTTAAGTGGTATGTATGATAACAGGTGGTAGGTGTCATGTGGCGAACATTAAGTTTAACCTGCTCCAATAACCGAACCACATAGTTTTGTCAGAGTGCCGCGGGTCTCACGAGACAGCAGACGCTTGTGCTCTGTAGTGGGTGGTGGTTAAAAACTGATAATGGCATTAACGGGCGAGAGTTGTTGATAATCTCTTTGTGTATGCCTTTAACTGCCTGTCTAATCAGCGTTGGGTCCAATGGTTGGCAGTATGCACTCATGAATCTCGGCCCTGAGTTCATAGAGCTTTCAACAAGTACCTAGTTTGGTGCTTACGGCGGTAGCGAGCGAGTTCAGCTCCTTTGCTGGGAGCATCTGGGTCTCGATATGTACGTAGGTGATATTCTGCCGGCATCATTTCTGTACTTTATTGGCAGTTGCGGCTGTGTGCGCGTCCAAACATTTTTGGGGTTTTCACTACTATCGGTAAGCCAACGACGTGAGTTTCAAGCTGCAGCCTGACCTCTTTCGCCCAGGGAAAGAAACGATTGCCGAGGATTCCGTGGGAGAGACGCTTTAAGCTCCACGCGCTGAAGAGGCGATATAAGTCGGAGAGAAACCCGGAATGACTTGTTCTTTACCCAACCAAGGACTATTGCCTTAAGAATACTACTTTTCAAATTATTCGCAATTAAAACTATCTAGTGTTTTAACAAGGATTTCATCTAGCAGGTCCTTTTCGCTTTTATTAGGAAAACTGAAGATATTTTGGATAAGGGACTGTTTACCGGGATATAAAATACCTTTTAACTCGCAGTGTCTCTTCTACTACTACACACTACTGATTAATTTACCAAATTCTAGTACATATCTTTCATATTATCCTTGAAAAATTACCAGTAATGAGTACTGGGATAAGTTTTTTTAGGCAGAGGGCTTTTCGAAAAAAAAAACAAAAGTTTCAAGATATATTAGGGACCGCGGTGCACCGTGCAAGGGCTTTGCAAGCCTCGGAAAATACCCCTATAGAGTTTTGCAACACTTCACAAAAATACTTTCATTTACTCCAATTAATTCCAAGAGAGGTGCTTGTGAATGACCTTACGATCCTAGGGCAACGCAGTTGGAAGCTGTTTCTCAGCGGCAAACATAAAAACTAACTCGCAGCCAGCTTTTTGCTTTAAATAATTAAACTATAACCGCAAGAAAGTTTAACTCAGCACATATACGGATAAATATGGACATATACATACATACATACATACTCATGTTTGAACTCTTTATTTTGCCGAAGGTTACTTAAAACGGAATACATATGTATGTACATACAATTATAAAAAAATGAAGCAAGTAGAACATGCTCGAATGGCCTATGGGGTTTGGAATATATGTACTAAAATATGTATATATGTACCTACATTAGGGTGCTTCACTCTCCATACAAAAAAAAATCGTTAC